CTGATGACACTGAATTTTGATGCACTGCCATCATAATATTGTACAAGTTTGTTTGCTCTGTTTTTTTTGTTTTGTTTTTTTTGTAGCTGAGAGTTGATAAACTGTTTAGCTTTGGGTAAAACACAGCGCTTGTCACTGTCACTTTTTAACCAGCCGCCAATCAGTGGACAAGAGGCGGGACAAATACTACACCGACCAATCATCCTACTTGTACAACAACTGAACAACAATAGAGAAGTTAACATTGCTGGTTACTGCATTTTTATATTTAGTAATATTCTTCAAAATGTATTGCAGTGGATTCCACATCATAGCAACCAAATCGACAGCTGGAAAAACGCTGTGCCACCAAAGCATTCTCAAGCGCCACGAGCTGGTTGTTTTAAGAAGAGCACCTGACATTTTTCAGCAGGCTAAAAACACTTTGGTGGACACACGTTATTGAATATTTATTGTTAGGCATATGGCCTATTAGTCTTTTTTGCATGTATGCAATATACAGGAGCCAAATTTGAGAAAGTAGACCAGAATATTCCACTGCGTTCCTGGACACGCAATTTGCGTAGCTGTAATTATAGGCGGGGGTTATGGTAATTGTGAATGAGCGTGCACGAGTGCCCTATTTACGAATGATTGGAATTCATTAACATACACATGTTTAACTATCAAATCAGACGTTTATGAAGCGTTTGTGAATCCGGAGGAGAGTTTTCGGGATGGTCCGTTTTAGGCACAAATTACTCAGAATTTACTCCTATATTTACGAATGTTTCATGAATGAGGCCCATTGTGTGTCGCTCGGGCCTTGAATACTCATTATAGCTTTTGCTGACCTGCATCCCAAATGATGCAATCCCTGTTACCGTCAGCCAAAATTAATAATGGCCTTAAATTAACTTCCTGTAAACTCTTTCTGAAAGATCTCGCTTTCATTTGGGGAAATTAGAATTTCCATCAAAAGTGACCCGGTTAGGCGAGCGCCAGTGTGACTTTGCGGTAATAGGTTAGCGAGATTTAGGCGTTTCTAAGCTCGCTGCAGGAGTCTTATGTCATACGTTCAAAGCACACTTCAAACAGAATCTCAGATGTTTTAGAATATACTGGATTTGTTGAATACAACTTTAATGTCAAACACGAGAGAATGACTGCTGTCACGATTTTTGAACCCGTCTACTTCTTGTGAGCGTTCATTTTGACCAGTTCAAACCCACCACAGAGCAGAGCCAAAATCTCTGACAAAACCACACATCTACACAACAGAGTTTGACATGTCCGGAAACAAGTAGCCTATTGCACAGCACATGGACAGTTCATTTTTTTGATTTTGTACTGTGAAAGTTGTTGCTCCTCCTTACGGATGGGATGGGTTGAACAAAGCTCTTCCAAAGGGCAACTCACCTCAAGCCTCAGCTACATTTGGATAGTCTACTGAAGAAGTAAGCGAGTATTACAGAGGAAAAGTCACTGGGAGAGCTTCCTCTGGGAACTGATGAAGCCTGTCAAATTTGTCCAAAATGACAAATGGCATCATGCAAACCTGCTTTAATTCATTTGTTTCCCTTGGATTTTGCCCCAAATTCCATGTTCGCTCAAGTCCCAAGTACTTAGACGGCAGAGGCTCATACTGTGGATTATCTTTAGCATTCCATGGTCCAAAACTGTTGTCCTTCTTTTACTGACAGGGAGGCAAATCCTCTGAGCAATGTCCCTTCTACTTTCATCAACAGAAGGAAGCCGTGGCTTCGAGGGTCTGTACAGCTAAATCATAAATCAAAACTGTTCCATCAGACGTGTAGTATTTACATCACTGTACATTAAAAAAGAGATTCCTATGAAAAAAAGACAAATGTAAGAAACAGTTACCCTTCAGTGCTTAAAGAAAGGTGAATATTTCTCCTCAGTAAAGTATACATGTTGAGAATGCATGTCCCTCTTGGATTGCCAGTATTTGGTTCACCAGTTCTTCTGGCTCGTGTTCTTAGTAGTTACACACAGAAGAAAAAAAGAGTACTATTTGGATGTATATATGTTTTAGGTAAGCATAACTACAGTCTGATCATAATAGTAATACATATATATATAATAAAAAACAAACAAAAATCAGTGAACAAATCAGATTCAAATAGGAATATAACCTTGACATTAAATCATCACAAAGTTCACTTAAAAATTGTCCTTACATTCTTTCATTAGAAGTTTACATGGGGATTGTGTACTTCATTTCATATTCACAAAATGATTTTCTCTTTTTTTCTGATTATTCTTTTCATATCTATTCGGCTTCCAGAGCCTCTAACAATGCACAGGGTTGTATAAAACCCAGAGGGTTTTAAAGAAGGTCTCTAGCTGTTTTGTGTCAACCATTAGGCTTATGGCTGAGGGGATTGGAGATGCACATCGAGACGTCTGAGTAAATCGGGGTCTGGTGGTGTGGTAGGATTAGCAGGTGTTTTGACAATGAGGCCATTTATCCTCTCACAGGCATTGCTGATCACAAGTATATTGGATCAAATGTGGAATCAAACATAGGCGGATGACAGGTGAATCACAGGTAGATTTCTCTTTTGGAGCCTTGGCTGGAGGGTGTAGTGGCAGGGGCGTAATCGGCTGTCTGACTCAGGGGGATCTCCTCCCGGGGGCAGTCCTTGCTGGAGTCGCCACCTGTAGAATAGGCACTAGTGTAGGGAGGCAAAAAGCGAACGCTGGCCACTTTGTTGCTCCCACCTCCGCTCCGCTCCTCTCTGTGAAGCTTAGAGCTGCTGTCAGCCATCAGGTGCTCCTGATCCTCCCTCTCCTGGTAAGGCACGAAGGTGGAGAGCTTGGGCCCACTCTTTGCACTCTTGGCGCGGTTGGGTGAGGGCTGTCCAGGCATCCAGCAGGAATCCGAGTGGCCGTATTCCGTACACTCGTGTGTGCATTTTCCCGTCATGGCCACGTCAGGTAGAGGCCTCAGATCTGGAAGAAAAGATAATATAATGATGAGGTCATTTTAATAATAAATACATTTAAAGCAATTCATGCAAAAGGTGTGTTTAGGTAAATGTTCTGTTTTCATAGTTTATTATATATTCAAACAATAATGCTATATAATATAATATAATATAATATAATATAATATACAGTCATTAATATTTATGAAATATACTGACAAAATGTGTAAGTAATATGCATAACACCTATGATCATCTTTACACATTTTCATATGAACAACCAGTCTGTAACTATTTAAGTCTTACAGTTAGCTGTAAGGTGTATGTGTTAGATTCACTAAAAATAACCAAATAATTATAGCTATTCTTTCGGGAATTGGGATACACTGATTGAACTGTGTGATTTTAATTTGCAAAAAGAACCAAGTCAAAAGAGTCTTTCAATCAATAATCGGGATACACTGGTTGCGCACTGTGTTTTCGATTCACTGAAATAGAACCGACTCATTAGAGTCATTCGGGAACCAGAATACATTGGTTGTGCTCTATACTTTTGACTAACTAAAATGAACTGGCTCATTGTAATTCGTCAGGAAATCGAACTACATTGGTAATGCTTGTCTCCGTGTTGTGACGCCATTGAATAAGTAACTCTGTCAGAGTATTTTTTTACAGTGGTGCTGCTATCATTCCGTATGATAAGAACATTTAGTTCGGTATTACTATTATATCCTGTATTTTTTTTTATTTTTTATTATTTGGTTTCATCTACTCAACGTTAAAGGAAATTAATTGACTAAACCTGTTAAAATGATAAATTAAACAAATTACAGAGCACTTTAAATGTAGCCCTACTATTGAAAAGCATAAATGAGTATTGACATCACTATTTTATTGTGAAGCTTTACTTCTGCAGTCAATCAAAGCTGCACAAACAACTCTACAGCCTATTCTCACCCTTGTTCACTGTAACCAATCAATGGATGCTAATGTTCACTATAAAAGGTTGGTGGAGCTGGATGGCATCACAAGAAGCGAAAATTACGGTCTGATCTGCATATGTCAAACTCTCTGTCTGGAAAATATGAATGCAAAAGCTGAGCCTAACCTTTCCTCTGAAAGTGACATTAGATTAGTTTGATAGTGTGCATGTGAAAGGGGGGAGGGCAGAATGGCAAGTTCTCGAGGGCGAAACATTTATTTCCCTAAATGCCTGAGCTCTATAAAAGGCCTGTGATTTGAGGCAGCGGACAACATTATTTTGTCCCTGGTATTTGACCATCATAGAACACACTTTAAGAATATTTTGTTGTTGTTGTTGTTGTTTTTACTTCATAGATAGATAGATAGACATATGAACTAAGAAATAAAAATGGACACTGAAAGCCAATCTATATTTGCTGCATTTTAGCACTTATATTTCTCTTCCACTATGACTCAGGGAAGAATATTCAAAGTTGAGGCTCTGACAGACCAATAGAGACCTTCGTCTCTGGCACACGGCACCTGAATCCCTCTCTCTCCTTTTCGTATCTCCTTCCTTCGAGTTGGAGTTAACCTCAGGAGGGTTCCCGCTGAGCCATAAGGCTGGAGAGCCGGCCCTGCACCACTGCCCCTATCACCAATCACTCCCAATCCGGCTCTCTAGCACTTTTTTTCAGCTAATTAGATTCCGCTGACCCCTTGTCACCATAATAGAATGGAAATTATTTCCAGATGAGTATCTGACATTTGGTGCTGTCTAAAGTAAAGAAGAAAGATGTGTTAAGACTGGGCTCCTTGCATTTTTTTCTGCTCTGCTATTCTTTGATGGAGGGCTGGCACAAGAGATTTGCTTTGTGTCATTTCCATTCAACTGTCATGCCCCTGGGGTGATATGGATGGAAAATATGCATACAAGGTTCAAGCTGTTTTCTCATTAATTCTATGTCCAATTGTGCAGCTGTCACGTTGCACACACACGAGGGACAAGGAGACGCTGGAGAATATGTTGACAGGACTTTATTTGCATGAACCAAGGGAGACGAACACAGGAAGACGTTCACAGGAAGACGTTCA